CTCGAGCAGCAGCAGCATAAATACACCGGTCCACTTGAGGCCCTCACCAGCCATTGCAGGAAGACCACTCTGCCCCGGTGCTATGAAACCCGAATTGCATTGACGGGCCACTTCGGAAAATCCTGTCGCATCCTCCCCCACTATGCGGAAACACATCCGTCGTGCATGTGACCACCGCAGCCAAATGAATCCGGTCCAAATACCCTCCAAATCAAATTCCCCTTTCCTCACGCCATTCCTTCATTCCATGCGCCCTGACCCTCATCCGCACGTGCCCACTCACACAAGCCGCAAAAGAATGGTGGTGGCCGCCCAACGCTCCGGTAAAAAATGCCCAGCACGCACACGCACAACAAATGACATGTGCAAGCGCACAGCACAACGGCGGAGAAGCGCACACCGAAAGGGATGCGGTCCTCCACAGCAGTCGCAGCCCACCGCGCGCATCACACCCGCAGGAAGAGTGACTCGCCGTGCACGCTCTCTCTCCTCCTCCCCTTCACGCCCACGGAGGAAGCAGCAGCCACCCGCAATCGCCAGTACACGCCACAAAAGAAGCATCCAAATCCACTGCAATGTGCATCCTGTGCGTGCATGTGGTTGTGCGTGCCTGCAGACACACGAGGCAAAGAAGTGAAAACAGGAGCAGAGCATGTGAAGGGACGCACAAACAAAAATGTACAGCAGAGGTGCATGGCAGAAATAAGGAAAAAAAGACTGATCAAGCTCATGATATTGCACTGCATACGAGGCAGCGGCAATTCATAAAAAATTATTAAAATCAAAAAAAATCATCTTCACCTTTCAACCCCTCACACTTTGAAAAAAAAAATGAAAAAAAAAATTGGAAAAAAAAGTCGTCCCCTATTACGGCTACACCCACACAATAAAAAACCACACAAAAAAGCATCCAACCACCATGTTGCTCCAGAAATTGTCTGCATACATTTTGTCCTAAAATAAAATTAAAAGATATTTAAATATCCTTCAACCGTCCGACCCTCCATGTGTCCGCACATCGTTTATATTTCATGGGGTCATCTGCGTGTTGCCGCTCCCCTCAGTCCTCTCATCGGTGCGTGAGTGCGGCCCGCAGAGCAGAGTCACTCGTGTGTGTGTGGACTGAGAGAAGCACGCAGACATGACGGGAGTAGCGTCACTCCATCGGGGGAGTGAGCGCAGCAAAGAAAAAAATTATCAGGAGGGAGAGAAATGCTGACGGGACTGCCAGCGCGTGAAATGAAAAGAAAAAAAAAAGAAGAAGAAAACAAAAAAAAAACGCGGCGGCAGGGTGTGGCTTTGTGTGTGGCGCTGCGGGTGTCTGCCCGCCCTGGCCGCAAGAAACAAAACAAAACAAGAGGGAAAGAAATGTGTGCTCCGCCCCACAGGCCCTCGTCGCACGCCCACACGTCACGGCTCCCTCAGCGCGCCGTTCGTCGCGGCCCCTCCTCATGCGTGCAGCAGGCGAGGCGCACAGGGCCGTCGTCATGAGCGTGTCGGTGGGTGTGTGAGTGGAGCAGTTGGGCGGGAAACACACGGCACCCCTCGCAGGAAGAGTGCAGAAGAAACAATTAAAATGAGTAGAAAAGAAAAACCGTCCATAGTGATTGCCCCCAAAAGCAAAAAAGGAAAAAGAAATGCAAAAAAAAACTTAAAAATTGTTTTTAAAAAGCAAATCAAAAAGGATTATAAACAAACATAAAAAAACATAAGAAATTATACTCCAAACAAGAAAAAAAGATTAAAAGAAGGAATAGTAAAAAAGAAAAGATGTCCATGGTGGTTGCCCTAAAGCAGCAAGGGGGAAATGGAAAACATTAAAAGAAAACAAAAACAAATTATTCTTCACAAAGTAAAATTTATTCCTAGCTGTGTGTGTGTGTCCTGCAGAGGAAAACGCAAGTGCTCCACACTGAAGCCGCACGCTCCTCACGCAGCCGCAAATACCCACAGCCCAATCAGAAGAAGAAGCGGCAGCAGTCCGCTCCCAGCAGGCGCATTGGCTCGCACACCCTCAATCCGAGGGATATGCCTCCTTTCCGTTCCATCCTCCACTTGGGTTTCCGGACCTCTTGTCAAAACGGGTGCCCTTCCCTTGATCGCACGCATTTCAGTGGGATTCAGTGGGTGATTGTACAAAAAGACGTTCGTCACCGTCACATTGCTGTCGCTGTCTCCCTCATCACCCCCAAAGTAGAAATGAGTGACTTCAGCCCCACGCATCTCAAGTGTTGGTATCGCTTCCGAGCTCCCCACAAGCTCACCATCCACGTACACGGAGCCCTTGTGGCCGTCCTGAAGTACGAGCGCCACCTCGTATTCTCTCCCAGGCTCCCAAGTGTTTATCTGTGCTGTTGTTGTCCCATCAAACACCGTCTCCCACGTTTTATTCATGCCGTACGACAGCCCAATAATCTTCTTGCCGGGACCGTCCCCCAGACTTGCACCCAGCAAAGGATTGCTCCCCTTCGGAACCTGGTGGATAAACACCGTCGCCACAAGAGTAAAATCGTGGTTCACAAAGCCGTAGTGACTATTATCCTCCCGGCTGTTCACGGGCCATGTTGCCCTGGACCCAGGTCCCGTGAATTTAAAACCATTGTGGACCTTCGCTGCCTTCGCCACGCTTGCATTCACGCAGCGGTAATCGTCAATCCACGTGCCATCGTTGGCCTCATCGGACAAAACCGCCACCAGACCAGCCGTGGGTATGGACGACTTGGAAAAGGAGGCGTCCAGCTGCGCCCAAGTACTGAGGACGGACCTGATCGTATTCAGCTCCTTTGTCAGGCGGGCAAGGGATATGTCCCGGCGCGTTCCCACAATACTCTCTCGTGAAAGATGCACCGCACCATCCGAGTACAGCAGGGCGTTGGCAAGCGTCTCATTCACATTATCCTCCAAAAAAAGCGGCCCAACATGAAACGTACGGTTGTTGTCCGTGACCCAAAGGTAGAGCGCATTGGCCTTATTCTTCCCCGAGGTGTACCCTCTCTGAGTGTACAGCATGACCTTCACTCCCTCAATGGTCGCGGTGATGAGGGCTCCCACACGCAGGCTTACATCCCAACGGAATCCTGATCGTGACTTGACCCACACGCCCGAGAGTGTCCCGATGGCCTCCGTCCACGTTGTCCCCATGTCACGCGACTCGAAAACAGTCTGGCCATTAAAACATTCAGCAATCATGAGAATCTGTCCATGCTCCCATTCGGTGATGCGGGGATCAAGGCATCCTACAGGAGAAATGCTCTCTGGGAACACCCAGGTACTGCCGTTGTCCGTCGAATAAGTGATTGAGGAAAAAGGGTGATTTTTCCCATTCACCACCAGGGGAAACACAAGCGTTCCATTCTGCATCAAAACGCCTAAACCACCAGTAGTCACAACACCCCTCAGCTGATCTCGAGTGTGATTGGGGATATGTTGTAAAAGCGACTTAGGTTCAGCCCAGCTGATCATTGTACTCTGCACGCCGTCCTTGGACTGCGTGGCCACACCCTCAACCAGTTGAATATCCCAGACATCTTTCACCAACATTTCATCAACGCTCTCATATCTTGTAGTATCGCTTCCCACAAGCAGAAACACCTTATTGTCCCTTGCAACTGCCGTGGTCCCGTACAAAAAACACAAACGATCATTGCCATTCCTACTTCCAAAAACGGTGTGTGCCCTCCATGTACCAGCACTGACCTCAGCAACAATGGACGGCCACGAATCCGCAGCCGTGATGTACCCAGCCACAATTTCGTAAGGCCGAATCCCAACCAAGCCATGTCCATGGACGTTATAAACGAACAGGCCTTCAGCAATGGCAACCATCACTCCACCAGCATTGACGAGAGAAGGCGCACCAAATGCTTTCTTCAATTCACTTTCAGACCCATTCTTCGGCACCACCTGTGTCTTTTCCGACACAAAAATATCGACCCATTGAGGCAGCTGCGTATCCCCGGAATTACCCTCCACAACGGCTGCAGCTCCACCAGTGTTGCAGCACATTATCACAACAAGTAGAAGCAGCACCGCGGAAGCAAACACACGCCGGGACATGTGGGGCCTCCGCGGCTCACTCTCTCTTCCTTCCCTCCTCCTTCCGCTGGATCCGGTCACGCGGCGACGGTTGTCTGTGCGGGGTGCCTTCACTGCAGCAACACGTGAGAGCATATAAATATGTGTGTGTGGGCGGTGTGTGTGCTGTTGTTGTTGGTCCTTTCAGAGCCTTCGAATTTCACAGTGACGATTAGCGCTTAGCGTTTATTTTCCTTCTTGGAGGGGAGCAACAGGCAACAGCGGAAGAAATGCAGTACAACAGCAGTTCACACCGTCACCA